GTTTAGTTAGAGAAGGCATCTTATGATCAATCCCAACTATGTGAATTTTGAATTTGGATGTCTAATTATGGGGGGTCTTAGACAAGTTCACAACCCCAAAACACTGATGTGAGACGAGTCACATCGATGGTCGAAGGCTTTAGGCTGTCGACGATGGGCAACGTCAAGGGACTCCGATGTGGGTGAAAGGAGGGTGAGAGCCCTGTCTTAGGCCATGTAGGCTGCACCCACTCCCAGCACCACGCACTCCTTTTCGGCTGCATTGGGTGGGCCCCTGGGAAGTGGACCTACAATAATCCCGTCATTGGGCTAACTCACAGCCATCCTAGTCCCTTTGTGAATGTTCAAGTTACCAACCAAATCCCCCCCTTTTTTTAAAATTACATTTATGAGGCTGTTAAGATGGCTCAGCAGTTAACAGAACTGGCAACTCTTGCAGAGGACTCAGATTTAGTTTCCAGTACTTACGTGGCAGCTCACAACCCTCTGTAAGTCCAGTTCCAGGGGATCCAACATCCTCTTCTGGCTTCTTCAGGCAACAAGCATATACACAGTACACATACATACATGTAGGCAAACACTTATACACACAAATATTTTTTAAATAATGTGTTTATTGTAGAGAAGGCATCGGTGCATACCCATATGTGCAAGTCAGATGACAGACACCACAGCAGACTCAGTGTTCTCCTTCTATCATAAGAGCTCCAAGAAATGAACCCAGGTTGCCAGGCTCGGCAGCAGGTGCCTTTATCCACTGATCCATCCCATCATTACCTAACACTTGGGAGGTAGAGGCAGGAGGATCAGAAGTTCCTGTTCATTCTTGGCTATATTGGAAAAAAATACCAAAAGAAACTAAAAACGAAATGTTTCCAAACAAAACCAAAATAAAAGGAATCATGACCTGGAAAGAAAAGGGTATTGAATTGTGGGTGGGTCAAATTTGAAGCTGGCTGGGGAGACAGCCAAGAAAAGAGCCACCTCATACAGGGACTATAAAGTCAATAGGGATTCCCTGGGTTGTTAAGTACACAACCTATGTGAATATACACAACCTCCCTGTGGAAAATATTCCTCAGGAAACTAGAAGTCTACTATGTAGGAAAAAATATTAAATAAGCAGTCTCTTACTTCATTTTGAAACTTTAGCAATATGTTTTTGATGTTATGGCTTAAGGGGTTTTGAGGAAAAAGATCAGGAATTTGGACAAAGCCTTCAGTGTGGTTTTTTCTTTCTTCTATTAAAATTTATATTCTCTATTATTAATTATTATTATTAATATAGGAATGTTCTGCATGTACATTGCTTGCCAGAAGAGGGCATCAGATCTCTTTATAGACGGTCGTGAGCCACCATGTGGTTGCTGGGAATTGAACTTAGGACCTTAGCGTTCTTAACTGCTGTGCCATCTCACCAGCCCCAATGTGTTTTTTTCTTGTTATTGTTTATTATGATTACATGAGCCAGGGCGTTTGTGTGGAGGTTAAAGTGTAAGTAGCTGATGTTAATCTCTCCCTCCAACACATGGGTCCTCAGGGTGGAACTCAAGTTTCCCCAGTTGGCCACAAGTTGTACCTGCTAAGTCATGTCACTGGCACCATTAGTGGGTCTTAAGACGTAAGATCCTTGTACACATTCTTTGCCAAAGACAAGATGGTTTCTGCGCCATGTGAAATTGCTAGAGATGAGTGAATTCTCTGTCCACACTAAAAGAGCAAAGTAATGAGGTAGAGATAGAACTAGGATTATCAGAAAATATCTATGGGGATTCTAGATGCCTGTCTCTTCTGACTAAGTACGCCTCATCCACAGAACCTAAGTATCATTTTCAGTAGTAAGAGCTCACTACAGGCTTTATTTATACTAGTTATGACTTTCAACTAGATAGATGGTCTGGGCAAATGTAGGTCTGTTGTTAGGAGACAGGACCCAGTAATATTTGGCCCTAGATTGAAAAGATTGTGATGCAGCCAGACATGGTGGTACACATCTTTAACCTAAGTACTCGGAAGGGAGAAGCACACAGATCTTTATTAGTTCAAGGCCAGCCTGATCTACACAATGTGTTAAAAAAAAATGAGGTGAGAGTCAGAAGGATGGCTTAGTGGTTAAAGATGCTGTCAAACCTGACAGTGACCGGAATTCAATCCCGCTCCTTACCCACATTGTAGAAAGAGAAAACCAACTCCCACAAGTTGTCCTCTGACCTCTACTGGGAAGACATGATATGTGTACCCCCAACAACCTGCATTAAGTAAATGAGTATAAACAAAATAAAACAAAACAACAACAAAACCTTTTAAAAGCCTTGCATGGTGGTACCTACCTTTATTTATTTTTTTATTTTTTATTTTTTATTATTTTGGTTTTTCAAGACAGGGTTTCTCTGTGTAGACCTGGCTGTCCTGGAACTCACTCTGTAGACCAGGCTGGCTTCGAACTCAGAAATCCACCTGCCTCTGCCTCCCAAGTGCTGGGATAAAAGGCATTTGCCACCATTGCCAGGCAGTACCTACCTTTAATCTCAGTACTCAGGAAGCAGAGGCAGGCAGATCTCTATGAGTTTGAGATCAGCCTGGTCTACATAGAGAATTCCAAGCCAGCCAGGGCTACATAATGAGATCTTGTCTCAAAAAAAAAAAAAAAAAGTGGATAGTGGTGCCCTAAAGAGACAGCATAACAGTTAAATACTCTCTTCCTGCTCTTGCAGAGGACCAGAGTTTGAGTTCACATAAGGTGGTTCACAATTCTAGGAGAATTTATATATATATTTCTAGACAGAGGTTCTCTGTGTTCCAGTCCTGGCTGTCCTGAAACTCTCTTTGTAGACCAGGCTGGCCTTGAATTCACAGAAATTTGCCTGCCTCTGCTTCCTGAATGCTAGGATTAAAGGCATGCATCATCATACCTGACATGCTGACATGTACACACACACACACACACACACACACACACACACACACACACACACATGTATGTATATATGCCAGTGTGTATGACCTGAAGTCTGGATTGACGGTCCCTGGAGCCCTAGGACTCTTCCACATTAAACAGCCTGCTCAATGCCTCTGTCCAACACAAGTCTTTTATTTTTTTATATCAACTACTTTAAAGATTTTTTAAAAAAAAGATTTAAATATTGTTATTCGTACGTATGGGTGTTTACCTACATATATGTTTGTGTACCACATGGATGAAGTGTCAAAAGGGCCCAGAAGAGGGCATCAGATTCCTAGGAACTGGAATTACAACTGATTGTGGGCCACCGTGTGCCACTGAGAATTGAACCCAGGTCCTCTGGAAGAGTAGGCAGTGCTCTTAACCACTGAGCCATCTCTCCTGCATGATTTTTAATGTTTAATTATGCATCTATGCTCATAACTCTGTGTGTTTGTGTATGTGAGTGCAGTCCACTCAGGTGGTAGGGCCATGGATCCATTTGGGCTAGAGTCACACGTGAGCCACTAGACGTAGGTGCTGAGGATGGAACTCTGGTTATCCATCCGCAAGAGCATCTGGTGCTCTTAACCAGCGAACCCTCTCCGGTCCCATCATCCATACTCTCTGTGCCACTAAGACATCAGAAAAGTCTTCTCAAGTGTCTTATTTTGTTTTGCCTTTCATTCTGGCTTTTCCACGTTAGGGGTCTTGTTCTCACTGTGTGGCTCAGGCTAGGCTTAGGTTCTCCATCCTCTTACCTGAATCTCCAGGTATGCTGCACCAAACACAGCTACTCGGGTGTCTTCATGAAGTCATTCTTTCTAGTACGTCCCCTTCTACTGGCCCCTCTCCAAACCTCCTCTTTCATGATAACTGGTGGAGAGGACAAGATGCCCTCTGTATTAGCTACTTGGTTCATCACTATGAGAAAATAGCTCATCAAAACTTGACAGCTCAGTGTTGTGGAGACGACTCAGCCATTAAGAGCACCTTTAAATCCATGAAATTGTGCCAACCACATTTAAGGTCTTCTTTCCTCAATTTACCTAATCCAGAAACTCTCTTGAAGACATGATTAGAGGTTTGCTTCATGGCTGTTCTAAATTCTGTTAAGGGCAGGCAAGATGGCTCAGCAAGTAAAGGCTTTGTCACAAAGCTTGGCTCCTGGGAGTCTGAGATCAATTTCCTGGAACTCATAGGGTGGAAGGAGAGAACCAGTTCTTACAGGTTGGTGCCTGGCACCCCTCCTCCGCTGTGACATATCCACTATCACGCACAAACACAAAGTAAATAAGTCAATGTAAAATAAAGCAAAAGATACAGCCTGTCGATTTGACAATCAAGTGATATTTATTGCTGGCTCAGGCAAGGGTACATAGGAATCTGGGGGCCCAGAGGGTCTACTTTCTCATGCCAGCAGCCAAAGTAGCTGGGTGTGCCCAGTGGCAAATGGCTGTCATGTATGTTACTTAGCTTCTGTACCAGTGGGCCCTGGTACTTGAAGGGATACTCATCTTGATACTGAGTAGAGAAGAACCGTTGTCTACCCAGCGGGGGCTCTATGTGGCTGTATTTGCACTGTGAAGTCAAGGTATGCAGTTTGCCAGACAGTCTTGTGGTGGCTAACCCACCCTGGCCACCTCAAGACCACTCTGGTGCGGACACCGGAGGGTGAGAAGACGCGAATGTATGCCCGTGGGTGTACACACACACAACCCATTAAAATGAAATGCCATAAAAATTAAATTTAAAAAAAATTTAAATGGTCCCTGGAATGTCCCCAGGACTTTGGATGGTTCTAGGTAGCTTCTGAGTGAACTCTTAGGCTTAAACCCTGTTGAGCAATAAATGTATCTTAGTTGTTATGAACCGGAGCCTCGGAAGAAACTAGGTATGATTCTGAAGCCAGGTAGTCACCAGCGAGATCATTGAGTTCTAAATTGTGGTGCATGCCTGAAACCTCAGCACTGGGGAGGTAGAGGCAGGACTCAAGGTCATCAGAGCCACACAGGGGATTCCAGGCCAGCCTGAGCCAGGAACCTTGTTTCAAGGGGGAAGGGGAGGGAGAAGGAGAGAGAGGGAGAGGAAGAGGAGGAGGAGGAGGAGGAGAGAGAGAGAGACAGAGGGACAGAGAGACAGAAAGAGACTCTTGGCTTGATCTTTCAACACTCATTTGACCCTAGGCCACTTAACTGTGATTCTGAGACTGGGGTTAACACTAGTTTGAGAGACGCTGATGAGGCGATGCATCCCTTCCCCAAGGCTCACCTTCCGTAACAATTCTTCAGTGATAGAGGCTCTAACTAGTCCATGCGGCTTCATCATCATTTGGTTCGTGGTTAAAAAGTCTAATTCTGAGATTTGGGGTTGCAGAAAGTTGGAGAGGGGGGAAGAAATGGAACAGGCGAAATATGAGGGACTAAGTGTGGAAGACTGAGGGCTCAAGCATCTATGTTGAACAGAGGCTAAGGACTGTCTGAAGTGTGGGCGGGGTCAGAACGGCCAGATCAGAGGGTTAGAGTTACACAAGGAGAGGTACCATAGCCTGGGAGATGAGAGTTGTCAGTCCAGGGTGGAATCAATCTAGGGAAGGTGGCGATAGGCATTTTGAGGGGCAGAACTTTGGGAATGGGGTGGGACTTTCGGAAAGGGAGGAACTTGGGGACGTGGGTGGGGCTTTAAGGAGCAGTCTTTGGAGATTGTTATTGGAGTCTTCACAAAAAGCAAATATTTGATGGCTCACACCTTTAATTCCAGCATTCAGAAGACAGAGTCAAGTGGATCTCTGAGTTTGAGGGCAGCCTGGTCTACAAAGCAAGTTCCAGGACAGCCAAGGCTACACAGAGAAACCATGTCTCGAAAAACCAAAAACAAAAAAACACATACCCCACCCCCCAAAAAAAGATGGGGGATGAGCGCCCAGAGGCAGAGCTTTCAATTATGGGCAGGGCCTTTGGAAAAGAAGCAGGTTCTTGGAGATGGAGAGGAGATGTAAGCAATGGTCAAGTCTGTGAGAACAAGGAGGGAATTGGGGCTTCCGAGCTTCAGTACTGGTGCGGTGCTTTCAGATGGGTGGGGCATTAAGAATGAGGTGGGGTTTTTTTTCAGTAATGAATAGGCCTTCCAGGGACAGAGGCAGGTCTTTAGTGTTAAAGGAGGGGATGGGGTGCAGGAGAGCTTCAGAGAGGGACAGGTTTTTCAGGATTTGGGGAAGAGGGAGACTTTCAGTGATGGGCGGAGCTTCCAGGAATCAGGAAGGATCTTTGGGGATGGGGCGGGGCTCTCAGAGAGGTAACTCACGCTTACCGCCTGTGCCCTCAGGCCAGTTACTCTCCAACAAAGACAAGTTGAAGGTTCTTCGTTTCATGGGGGTAGTCGGAGGGCGGTAGTCTGAGCTCATGGAGGTTTGGAAGAAGTTTCCGAGCAGCTTCGACTCTCCCAAGACCACGTGATCCTTCAGTTTTTCATGGGACACCTGTCGGCTTGGAGGCTGCGTCGCAGGAGGTAGCTGTTGGAATACAGGTTTCTAGGTATCTCCAGTCCTGGGATTGGAGCCTCGGGAGTCATTTCGTGCCATGTGGATAGCTTCCACCCTCCGGATTCCAGATGGGCTTAAATTGTTGGGTTATTGTATTTTACAGATAGAACCACTGAGGAGGATGTTTGTGTATGTCAAACCCAGGATCTGTGGTCTACTCTGAGCTCCATATCTTGTTGTGCCTTTAAGACCCTTTCTCCCCCTTGAGGGCACACTGCCACCTTCTCCCTCTTCCTGCTGACCTCACCGTAGAAGAACTTTGAGGAGGTAGCAAGGCTGCCAGGGCCAGGGCACCAGTTTCCTTTCATGATGTGTGACTCCGGCGTCTTATCATGGTGAAGAACGAAAGGCTCTGCCAGGGGAGGGGTAAATCAGTGTTAAGCAATTGAAACGAAGCTGCAAAGGGAGGCGGGTGTGGTGGTTGTGGTGGAGGATGCATGCGCAGTAGGCTCTCACCGAGCTCCTTGGGGTCGAAGTAGTCATTCCTGGTGGTTCTGCCGTGGAACAGTCTGTCTCCAGGACCAACGTTCACCTGGTGGATGTGGGCTGCGGCCCGGGCCTTGTCATACCTCAGGCAAAGTAAGTTAGGATCAAGGTAGGTCCTCGAAACTTTCAGGAAAGGTGATAGGGATGGGTGAACCATGATTAAGCCTGGGATGCATTAATTAATATTTGTACACGTCTTTGAGATAGTCACACTACATAACCCTGGCTGGCCTGGGACTCTCCAGATTCTCTCGTTTCTGCCTCAGAGTTGTGTTGGTTAGTTTTTGTCAACTCAACACAAATTAGAATCACTTGGAAAGAGGTACTCTCAACTGAGGAATTGTCTCAATTAGATTGAGTGCCTGTAGTGCCTGTCTGTGGGGCATTTTCTTCATTAATGATTGGTGTGGGAAGGGCTGGGCCTCTGTGGGTGGCCCCTGGGCCGATTTGGGTTGTATAGGAAAGCAGGCTGAGCTAGCCCTGGGAAAGAGGCCAGGAAGCAAGCAGCATTTCTCTATGGTTTCTGCTTCAGTTCCTGCCTCTAGGTTCCTTCTTGAGTTCCCTTGACTTTCCTCAGTGACGGAGTATAACCTATAAACCAAACAAACACTTTCCTTTCAAAGTTGCTTTTGGCCTTGGTGTTTATCAGAGCCACAGAAAACAAAGTAGGACAGCAGTTCCAGAATTAAAGGCATGTGCCATCTTTTAATTTAATAAATTTGAGAATTTAATAAAAGGCATGCCCAGCCTTTTAATTTAATTTTAAAGATTATTTTGTGTGTATGAGTGTTTGCCTGTATTATGTAAGTATATCACATGTATTTTTGGCGTCCACAGAAGCCAGAAGAGGGTATCAGATCTCTAAGAACTGGGGTTACAGATAAGCATGAGCCACCAGTGGGTACTAGGAATAAAACTTGGGTCCTCTGCAAGAGTAGCAAGCACCCTTAACTGCTGAGCCATCTCTCCAGGTCTTCTTTATTTCGAGACAGGCTCTTACTGTGAAGCCTTATGTCCAGAACTGTGTAGACCGGGTTGGCCTCAACCTCACAGTGAAGCACACTGTTTTCTTTGCCTCCTGTAGGCATAATGTTGTTGTGCACTGTGTAAAGATTTTCCTTGTATTAGTCAAATGCTGATTTCTCTGCTCCCATATCGTGCTGCAATCTGGACACAGTGTTGTAATACTTATTCTAATTATCTCCTGTTTCAAAGTTGCTCCACATGCTGATCAGCCAATGGCTGGGCAGAAGAGAGAATAGGGCGGGTCTTCGACCTGCCAGGGGAAGGAAGGAGGGAGCGAGGGTGAGAGACCATATGGGTTCGGAGAGGAGGAGAGGAGACGAGGGGA